GGGCCGCGTCTTCAAGTAAGCGAGCCTGGCGGAAACGGTGCTGCGGGATTGCGGCAAGGAGAGAGAGGTAAGGGAAAAGAAAGTAAAATTGAATGCAGAGAAGGGGGGAAGGAAAGATATGATTGTGCCTTTTGTGCGGCACAGTGGAGACCGTTTTATTAAAGAAAACTGAATAAACTTTGATCACACGTTGTGCGTTGTTCCGTGTGGGTGAGAGAGAGAGAGAGAGAAGGATAGGGGGGGGACTCCGGGGCCGTGTGAGGAGATGTGTGAGTTCCTTTGTGCGGGGGGAGTGGTCTGTTGCGCAGCTGCCTCTTTTATTTTGTTTCTGTTGAAAAATTAGGGTGTACTACAGGAGTCCACATACTAAGGGGACACATAACGAGCACATTGTAATTAAAGCAACGGGATTAAGAAAGAAAGGAAAAACATTAGGTCATTATCCCCCATTTGGTTGAGGACTATACAGCGTGGCAACTCTAGGGAGCGTATTACAAGATGCCTTCGCGCAAGACTTCTATTGCTGTAGCTGCGGGTGCTTCTATCATCGCAGGAGCCGTGACTTACTACGTGGTGAAGCGGAATAGCGTGAAGAACGCTGAGGATGACGACGTGTTTGCCGCGCCTGTGCAAGTTAGTGGAACAGCCGACGCCGCTTCAAAGGAAGGAGGTGTGTTGCTCACAGCGGATACCACTACACAAGGGGAAAAGAAGGTGTTTGAGGCGGTGGCCAAGAAGGGGTCAGGATTGACATCCGTGGAAAACAAGCTGATCAGCGAGGCGCTGAATGAACTTGGAATGGAGCAACCGTCCAAGGGCCCGGCGAAGCCTCTGGCTACTAAAGCGGGGGCTGCCAACAACCAAAGCGATAAAAACCGCAAGGAGTTTCCGCTACTTGGCTTATCGTTGGAGGTGCCACCAGGGTGGGATGTGCGGGAGGACCTTTCCCCGTTCCCAAATGTGGCCATGATTACGGTGTGGAACCAGGATTTAGTAGCGGAGGACTCACAGCAAATGCCTGGTATGGTGCCAATGGTCATTCTATCTGTAGAGGACGTCCGTGGGGACAGCGTGGATCTCCTGGAGTTCAAGGACCGCTGCAAGGAGCTCGCAGTGAATCAGATGCTCATGATGACCGGGGGTGCCATTCATCCCCAGGTGACGGTGGACAGTGCGGTGCAGACGGGTCCGTTCCATCATGTGCTTGAGTACTCTCAGAGCATCCCGCCCTTCTACGATATTGCGGTGCTGAATCTTCTTGAGGTGCGCCACAGCATTGCGTACACGTTCCAGATCATGTGCGCACCATCGGTGATGTCAAAGTACAGGTCCACATTCATGGACATGGCCCGCAACATGCGTCTGGCGGAGAAGATATCCACTAAGCTTGGTCATGTGGAGCTGCACACGGGTGCGGTGAAGGTGGACATTGACTCAACCTGGTCGTGGACTTATCCGGGTAAGGGGGGAGCCCTTGCCGTGTTTACCACGTCTTCGCCGATCAAGAAGGAGGAGATCAGCCTCTACACGGAGGAAACCATTCCCACTACACCCCACAAGCCACGTGAAGAGAAGACCATGGATGGTGTCGTGATCGTGACCGCGTATGACGGTAAGCAGCAGCAGAAAACTTTCACCTATAATGGCTACGCCTTGGTCGTGAAGCCATTGCAGAAACCCACCTCTCATCTGCTGGACGAGGATCTTGTGGCTGTCGTGAAGTCGGCTGCAGCTTCTACAGCACGCCCAAAGCCGAGGAATGGCGGCACTTTTGTGAACAAAGAACACGGTTACAGAGTGGATATTGTGGGTGGCGGGCGTCTTGTGGCAAGCCTCGTTGGCGGCGGCTCTGCTGCGTATGCGCCACGTGGTGTGGGTGATGGAACGAACAGTGAGGAGCAGCCGCCTTCCGTCACTATCCGCGTTGGTTCACCAGAGAACGACCCAGAATGCATGGGGTCCATCGAAGAGTGGGAGGCACGGATGCAGCAAGAGTCGGTGGAGAATGACATTAAGGAGATTACGCGAACCACCATTAATGGTGAGCCGTGTCTAACGTTTTTGTCACAAAGCATGGAAGAGATTGAGCCAGGAAAGCGTGTGGAGGTGCGTGGAAAGGTATTTATCTTTGTTCGCAACGGCAAGACAACTTTGATACGCTGGGAGATGGCGTCGGGTCTCTGGCGGAAGTTTGAGCGCGAGATGAACACCTTTGTGGAATCCCTGGAGTTCATTTGATTTGTGGAGGGGGAGGGGCAATCACGGCACCGCCGCGGCCCCCCATTCTGCGGCGCGGGCGGGGTGCAGTGAGGGAGAAGGAAAGGAACGAAAAGGAGGTCGGGGGAGAAAAAAGAGAATAAGAGAGCAGGGAGGGAAGTGTGCACAACAAACTGCAACAAAGGGAAAGACGAGTCGCCTTCCGGTTCGCCAAGCAACTGCGACGTGTGCGATGATAAAAATAGAAAACGAGAAAACAAGATAAGGCGCGGGGAAGAGGAGAAAAAAAGAAAAAGAAAAGGCGAAGAACAGACGCCGGAGTAGATGAGGTGCTGGAGAGCCTGGCGAGGATGCTTGTGGTTGAATGGGTAAAACGGGGGGAACGGGTGGCCTTTGTAAGGCTGCGTTGGAGTGAGGATGTGAGGGTGAGGAAGGCAAAAGGGGGAAGTGAATCAGCACAAACACACACACAGAGAGGAGGAGAGAGAGAGAGAGAGAGGCGCGCATGCATATACGCAACAACAGAAGAGGAAGGAGGGAGGGGGGAATAGTAGAAAACATGAAGGAAAACGGATATGCAAAGTGCGGCGGACCAATACGGTGTGTCTGTGGGTGGGTGATTCTTTATGCGCGCAGGGGCCTCTTCAGCCCAATCTCTCTCCGCTTTTCGGGCGCGATCTTGTCCCAGCAGCATCGTCATCATCATCACTATCGCCCCCAAAATAGTCATCATATTTCTTTTTCTCCCCCTTCCCCTGACTACCACTACAACTGCTACTACGACTGCTGCTGCTGCTTCTGCGTGCGTGTGCGTGTGCGTGTGGGGGGGAGAGAATGCGTGTCAGAAGCAGGCGTGTTGTTTGGGGTGGGTGTGGAGGGGGTGTGTGGGAAACGATGAGAAAGGTTCTCTTCTGTTAATAAAACAGAAATAACGTAAAGCACAGCTGCTTCTTTGTGTCCCAAACGCAGATGCAAAGGATCGTGAGAGGCGAAGAAGAAAGAAAAAGAAGGTCAAAAAGGTAGAGAAGGAAGTAAGAAGGGGGGAAGAGGTGACCGAGCTTTTAAACGTTGCTTCACCGTTCAATGCTTTCGTTCAAAGAAAAAAAAAGAAAAGGGGGATTTTTTCTTGAGCCTGTGTGACGTCGTGGGACTTTCTGAGCCCATTCAATCATGCATCCTTGTGCGCGGTGCTCTCCTTATGTGTGCTTGCTTTGCTCTCGCTGTCAATGGACTGTGGTGGATTAAAAAGGGAAAAAAAGAAATTGGATGAGCCGGAATAGGCCACTAGCCATCGCACTGGACTGTGAATTTCTAAAGACGCATGGCCAAGTTCTCGCAAGCTCTGTGGCATTTGTGCCATTCTCCTCAGCGAAGGCTACAGAGGTGAGAGAGGAGCAGCGTGGCGATGCCCAAGCAGCCGCAATGGCAGCTGAACCCCCTCGTTGTCTGCTGAGACACCCAGCGCTGCGGCGCACGACGGTGCTTGGGAATCCCATCATTCTTAGCCTCAATCCGGCAGAAGTGATGCGTCGCGCAGACGTCCTTCCATGCGGTCACTGCCTTACGCCGTTGCTAAGGGAGTCGCTGGTGTCCGGTGAGGCACTCCAGACCATTCAGCTCCGCCACACAAATTCGAGCGTTGAAGCACCATCAGAGAGTAGTGAAGAGCCCTCCACCTCATCAGTCGCAGGCGTGCGTGCGTTGGTTGGGGACTTTGAAACGTTATGTCCCTATAGCATCCCCAATCTCAGGCGCGCCGACAAGACATGGTTAAAGTCCATTTACGCGGCTCCTGTGGATTCGATGGATTTTAAAGAAGCGGCTATGCAGCTGAATCATCTCCGTGCTTATGGTAAAGGGAGGCGACGGAAGCGGGCCCTGTCCTTTCTGTTGCGGTACCAACCGGAACTGCTCCAGGACGTATTGCAAGCCTCGTTTGCGACACCGGAAGCGTGGTGCGCGTGGCTTATGATGTGCGGAGACAAGGTTGAGACGGAGCTTCGTCGTTTGGCTGAAGACCATCGCCGGTTGGCATCCTCAGATGCCTTGGAAACAACACCACTTACAGCTGATGGTAAAGGGACGAAGACTAGTGCAATACGATACAAGGAGTGTGAAACCATTGAAGAGTTGTCGTATGAGCTGAATTCTGCGTGGCGTTCCTTGATGCATAAGGATCCTCGCGGGGGCAGNAGCAACACAAATAGCAAGTTCTACACATATGGCGACATGGATGCAGAAGCTATACGAAACACACTTCAACTGAGCTGTTGCATGATGACGCGGTATTCGTCTCGTGTTTCGAAGGGTTTACCTGTAAATTCAAAGGATTCTTCTAACATAAAAAAGCCACTCGATGAGGGAAAAAAAGTACAGCAACAGGTGCCCAAACTAAGGCCTGTTACCGGCGAGCTTCTTTCTTCGCCGTACGAGGCGAAGGTGCTGGACGTGACGCGTCACGCCTTGTTTGCCGCGTCCGGGTTTCGCCCTTCGCCGAAAACAATTCCGTCATTGACGGACGCCTTGGAAAAGGCGGCTTCTGTGGATATGACGGCGGCCCTTCTCAATGAGCGGAAGGATCCGCATAATCCCGTATGGGATGCCAAGGCCCTTGCCTGCATAGCGGCCGCGAGTGGGGTTTCGGTCGGTTAGTTTAAACCGAAAAGGTGGAGAAAACATGTGAGAAAGGGTAAAAGGGTGGCGGGGCCCGCCGGCCGTGGCCAAAAGCGGGTATGGGGCGATGCCCCCCCCCCCC